AGAGCATGTGATAATCCAGCTTTGTTCTTCTTTCTCAAGACTGTTTTAGCTGCTTACAGTATTTTTTGTTTCTACAGAAATTTTAGAATTATTTTTTCTAGTTCTGTGAGGAATGCCATTGGTCTTTTTACAGGGATTGCAATAAATTTGTAGACTGCCTTGCATAACACTTTAACAATATTAATTTTTTCACTGTATGAACATAGTATCTCTTCTGTTTGTGTCATCTTCAGATTCTTTCATTAATGTCTTAAAGTTTTCTGAGTACAGGTGTTTTACTTCCTTATGTAGATCTGTTCCTAGGTATTTTATTTCATTTGATGCAATGGTGAATCAAATTGTTTTCTTAATTTATCTTTCTGATAGTTTGTTGTTAGTGTATAGAAATGCTACAGATTTCTATATATTAATTTTGTTTCTTGCAACTTTACCAGATTTATTGATGAGTTCCAGTAGTTTTTTGGTGGTGTCTGTAGGATTTTCTATGTGTAGTGTCATGTCACTTGCAAACAGTGACAGTTTTACTTCTTCCTTTCCAGTTTGTATTCCTTTTTTTTTTCTTGTCTGATTTCTATGGATAGAACTTTCAGTACTATGTTGAATAACACTGGTGAGAGTGGGTATCTTGTCTTGTTGTATGAATGGCATAATTATTGACAGTTTTGTCCTGACCTATTTCATTGAAATACCAGGATGAATCAGACCTCAGGATTTAGTAGTTTGGCACCTATTTTCAGTAGAATGACTAACTTGTGACAGAGGGGAGTGTTGACTGAGTATCTCATGTCTACAGGAAGTCATTTAAAAGGAAAGTTGAAATATCCAGAAAACAGAGGATGATGAACATAGGAATGCTCTGCTATTATCTATACCCATCCCAACTTGTCAAGACTTCTTTCTTTGTTAGGTGCTATGTTTCTGAGAATTCTTATACTTATCATGCATTTCTTTAATATGATTTTCTTTGTTTTTGGATTGAGTATATGTTATGTAAATGAGCATTAACTAAGTTGCAACCTAGTTATATTCAGTGCTCTGTGTGTATAATTTGACATTAATTTAAATTTCGTTGAGAAAGCTCTTACTTTAGGTTCGAAGTCTTTAAGGGTGTATAAAGAGTTATAGGAGTGGAGGAAAGAGAGATCTATCAGTGCACAACAATACTTCTAATGAGGGAAGTTGTAATAAATCTCAGAGTAGTAAGAATATAACATAGTCACATCTGCCTGGAGTTGTGAGGAAAACTTAAGAGTACTTCATACCTTAACAGGAATTTTAATATGAATGAAAATTCTTCAGGTGGTTGAGGGTAGAAAGGTCGTTTGAAGCATAAAACAGTGCTGGATTGAAGGTAGCCTATCTTGAAGTTATCATGTGGTTAATAAAATTTAAATATCAATTTAAGGCTTAGCTGTCAGTTTTTTTTCATGTTAAATGTGTTTGTTTTTGTAGTCATTGACACATTAGAAGTAGAAAACTAACAGTGGGTTCTATTAAAGGCAATTATCTTGCAAAAAACCTAATTTTTTTCAGCCTAGTAAAGGAGAGAAAAAGAGAAAAACTATAAAGAAGATATATATAAGTTGGAGATAATTTGAAATAGAGGAATTTAGGAATGTAGACGAGAAAAGGAAAATACCAGGCAATTGTATGATTTTTACAATTTTAGGCTAGTTATGAGGACTCATTTTTTTCCTTGTGCAAAGTAAAATTCATGTTAGATCTAAAAAAATCACAGCAGAACCACGTAAGAGTAAGTGAAGCAAGGTTATGAATAATGAGACAACTCACCTCCTTTTTGAGAAAGTCACCTACGACTTCTGGGTGAAATCTGATCTGCTTTTCAAAGACGTAGTGAGAGAAAGATGGATTGGCAGAAGTCGTAACCTTTCACAAAGTTCAACTTGAGATATAGCAACGAACATGTAAAATTGAGTTTAGAAAGAACTTTCTCATCTATTATTTCTTGTCTTTTATTATAATTCTTTGAATAGACAAGAGTTCTGACATCGTTATCCCCATTTTAAAGCATTTTCTCAGAAATGCTAAATACTTGCTTAAGATCTAAGAATAAGTTAGTAGCAAATGTCTGAAGAAATCTGACTTTGACTCCAAATGAGGTAGTTTCTTTACCATAACATACTTTCTTAAAGGCCTTAAAGACAGGCATGAAGTTATTTCAGACACCAGACTGGAAGATTTTGCTTCTGAAAAGCAAACCTGAAGAGGGAATTTAAAAACAACAACGAGAATCAGAACAACATTACCATTCATTGTGATTTTTTGCTATATTAAGTCATAATTAAAGTGAGAAAACAATAATAATTAGTAATATTATTAAACACTCACTGTACATAAGGCATGTTTTATGTGCATTATACTATTTAAATTTTCCAGTATTTCCATGAAGCAGGAAAAAAATGATACACCATGACATCTTTAAAAGGCAATGGCAATAACAGAAACATGGAATTCTGACTTTCAAAGAATTCTTAAAGAAAGATTAAGTGGAAAGAAACGTAACTCAAGTTCTTAAATAAGCTTTTGCCATTTACCTAGGTAACTATCTCTGCCAAAGTTTATATCTTCAGAGGAAAAAAAAAGTCATGTCTGCCTTTTGTCTTCTAAGGTATAGAGTGGAAATGTATCATTGTCATGGTTTTAAGAAAGAAAAGGAAGAAAGAAGAGAGAAAGAAGGAAGAAAAAAGGAAGGAACGGAGGGCTGGAGAAAGGAAGAGATAAAGGAAGGGGGAATAATAGAAATAGATAATTCCTTCTGCTCATAATTCCTTACCAGAAATACAGCAGTTACTTTCTGAGTATACAATTAGGTTTCTTTTGAAGTGATCTTAGAATACTTAATCTGTTTTTTGGCATGGTTCTCACCAACAGTGCATAAGATTCCCGTTTCTCCACATCCTTGCCATCACTAGTTATCTCTTGTCTTGCTGATAGCCATTCTGAAATGTGTGAGGTGATACCTCATTTTGGTTTTGCTTTGCATTGCCCTGATGATTAGTGATGTTGAGCACTTTTTTATGTACCTCTTGGTCATTTTTATGTCTAATTTGCAAAACTGTCTATTCAGTTCCTTTGCATCTTTTAAAATGAATTTTTAAGGGTTTTTTTTTTTTGTATGTTTGTTTTGATATTGAGTTGTATGAGTTCTTTGTATATTTTGGACATTAACTCCTTATCAGATAGATGGTTTGCAAACATTTTATTCCATCCCATAGGTTGCTTTTTCATTTTGTTGATGATTTTCTTTGCTCAGTGTTGAAGCTTTTTTTAGTTTGGTATATTCCCACTTGTTTATTTTTGCCTTTGTTGTCTTTGCTTTTGTGTGAAATGCAAAAAATTATTGCCAAGGTCAGTGTCAAGGAGCTTACCCCATGTGTTTGTTTTTTTTTTTCTAGTAGCTTTGTGGTTTCATGTCTTACATTCATGTCTTTAGTCCATTTGGAGTTGATTTTTATGTATGGTGTAAGGTAAGCATCTAGTTTCATTCTTTTACATGTGGTTGTCCAGTTTTCCCAGCATCACTTATTGAAGAAATTATCTTTTCCATATATATGTATTCTTGGCTCCTTTGTCATAAACTAATTGACTATATCTTTATGAGTTTATTTCAGGCAGCCTATTTTGTTCCATTAATCTATGTGTTGGTGTTTATGCCAATACCATACTGTGTTGTTTACTGTAGACTTTGTTATACAGTGTGAAATCAGTGAGTTTGATGCCTCCAACTCTATTCTTCCTTCTCAAGATGGCTTTGGCTATTCAGAGTTTTTGTGTTTCTTGCCATTGGGGTTTTAAAAAGTATTGCATTGAATTTGTGGCTCACTTTGAATAATATGGACATTTTAATCATATTCATGTTTCCAGTCCATGAGCATAGAATGTCTTTCCAGTTTTGTATCTTCAATTTCTTTCATCAGTTTTCAGAGTACAGATCATTTACCTCATTGGTTAAATTTATTCTTATGTACTCTTATTTTTTGATGCATTTTAAATGGATTATTTTCTTAATTTCTCTTTCTGATAATTTGCTACTAGTGGATAGAAATTCAACTAATTTTTGCATATTGATTTTGTATCCTTCAACTTAATGAATTTGTTCATTAGTTCCAAGTTTTCTTGTGGAATCTTTAAGTTTTTCAATATATAGTATTATGTCATCTGCAAATAGATACTTTTTTTACTTCTTACTTTCTGATTTGGATGCTTTTTATTTCTTTTTCCTTGCCTAATTGCTCAGGCTATTATTCCAATACTATGTTGAATAAATGAGTCAAGAATGGGCATCCTTCTTCCTTATCTTGAAGAGTTTTCATCTTTTCATTGTTTGGTATAATGTTAGCTGTGGGCTTGTCATGTATGGCTTTTATTATATTGTTACACATTCCCTCTATGCCTAGTTTGTGAGAGTGTTTATCATAAATAGATATGGTGTATCACATTGATGATTTACAGATGTTGAACCACATTAATCAAATAACGAAAAACAACATTATGAGCATCTGAATAAGTGCTAAAAAAAGCATTTGATAAATTCAGAATCTATTTATGATAAACAGTGTGTTCCATGTGTTCATGGGGAAGGTTATATTCTGCTGCTGTTGGATTGTATATTCTGTAATTATCTGTAAGTCCATCAGGTCCTACATGTAGTTTATGTTCAGTTCTTCTGTATGATTTTCTGTCTGAATGATGTGTTAAGTATTTTAAGGTTTTGGAATCCGTAAAAATGTATCTTGTGATATTCTTTTGTGATTATTAGTAAATATAGATTACAAAGAATAATTGAATCTGATAATGCAATAACTAAATATTTAATTAGAAATATTATAAATATTTTGGTAAATAGCATAATGATTTCCTGTATAACTAAATAGAGCATTTCTATAAGATATTTAATAATAAAAGTAGATTTTGTTCAAATAATGGAAAATGGAAAAAAATTATTTGTAATCATAATAGTGCACATCTTTTCTTAACAGGTGAGCTTAAAAGATTGCCATTTAGTGTCATTCAGGATCTACTAAGCATCATTTTTGCATGACTACAGAAAAAGGATATCTTTACAGAACCAGTTCCTTTTTGAAGTTCATAATCTGGGCCATCTTCAGACAGAAGGTACAGTTCATCTTTTATTAATATACTTTAGAAATTGAAAAGAGTGTTGAAGGAAAAAAAAAAGACATAAAGCCTGTGTTTACCATTTATAGAATTCCTTAACAACAGCTTAATATGCTAAAAATCATTTTTTTTACCCAAAATAAATGTTCTACCTTTAAATTGGAAAAAAAAATACCTTAATTGTGTTAGTAAACACAAAGACTCTAAAATATTCTGGTAATAACGTTATAGTGAAAGTAGTAAAATGTTTTGTATTATTACATTTTTAGTTTGATATGAACATAGCAAGTACATAAAATTGTTAAATTTCTGAAAACTATAATTGAAACAGTATTCTCATCTAGCATCTTGTTTCATATCTTCCTCAACCAACATATAATAATATGCTACTGAATGGATTCTGTGTGTTTGTTGTTGTTGTTTTTTGTCAGCCTGAGTTTAACAGCAGTACTTAGGTGAAACAGGCAGAAGTCATGGGCACAGAGAGGTTGAGTCATCCCCGAACTAATAAGAAATCTCACAAATGAAAATGACTTTTATGCCGTTTTCTCAGCTGATCCACATTCTCGTATACTTATACAACAACCAAAATTATTAAATATTAATTACATATATTTTGAGTAAAAATGACCATTGGATGATTAAATAATAGTGCTTTAAGATGAATACATTGAAGTGTTTTAGAATACATGATTAGACATAGATTTAATATTCATAACTATGCGAGCGTGAACAGATTACATCAATTTAATCCACTGTGTATTACTTAACTACAATATATATGGTGTATTTTTAGATAGTCAATCAAATAGGTCAGTCCATTTTGGATATATAATTATTTGTTCTTGTTTTCTAATTATTCATGAAATATTGGAAATATTGTAACCAGTTTCAAAGCTGCAATATGTCTTTCCTTTAATTTGTCAAGTTAATGGAAGTTAAGTGATTCAAAATATTGGAAAGTATTTTCCTTAGCCTATTCTATGGTTTCAGTTTCTTCAGATTTGAAAATTAGAGTAAAGGAGGAAAGTAGCTAAATCTGAATTTGAGAACAACTCTGTAGGAGAATGTAAGAGTTAAGAGTTTATCATTCAGTTTTACTTTCTATTAGTCATGCCCAAATTGTGGAGATCACTAAAGAAAATATTACATTTCAAATGCCTTTTATTCACTCAATTAAATAAAACCAATTTTTCATTTTTATTTGAGGTTGTAACTGAATCCTTAAGTTAATTTTAAGAATAAAAACAACCATAAAATTTTAATTTTCTTAAAGGCTAAAAAACAAGGGAAGAGAAAAGATACGGAAGTAGAATGAAAGTCTCTGACAGTGAAACCCCAAACCAGTGAAAAGAGTGAGTTTCCCATAAGTTAGTCCTTTGCTGTATTCTAATATCCGACAGATTTTTTCAGCCAAATTTTGCCATCATAGTTCTGCTCATTACAACAAAAATCATCTCAGAATAGGTTACATACACAAAATAAAACTAAAATAACAATTTGTGTTCTGTCTGCAAAAGATATATGCACGTTTGGAAGGTGTTATTTCCTGTATATAAAGAGTTTTGTCTTTAACTCTTGATCACTGAAGCATATTAACAAATCAAGCTCTACATTAATTTGCTACGTCTGTAATACCTGTGACTACCAGGGATAAATTACATCCAGACACTTTAATTGCATTCTGCGATGTTAGAAATTGTTTATTTATGATGCTTTTGACATTTTTCAAAGAAAGACAACTGAGCACAGCATAGCCACTGTAGGTGAGAGGACTTTAGATCTAATACTCACTTCCAGATGGATGATGGATATGCAATTTAAATTTATGGTAGGTGTTTCAGCAGATGGAAATAGAATGGAGTAAAATGCCTTTGCCACATGTGAACTGATGCATTTTATCAGTTACCGGCTGACTTGTATTAAATTTAAGCAGTTCAACGGAACTCTAATTTTTGAGAAGAGACTTTTTGTCAACCTATTAATAAATCTAGGTTTCAGGTTGAGGATGGGGAACTTATTTCACTATGCAGAGAACCTATGGACACAGGTTTGCAGAGCATAGTTCACTCTCGTTATGTCACTCATGCTATTGTTCTGCCCTGCTAATTGAAAAGCATATTGGTAGAATAGGAAGCAATTGAAATGAATGAGACCGCCTGAGCACTCCAGAAGGACGTAAGTGTATTAAAATTGATGAATCTGATGAGAGTGAATTCACAGTGTCACTTTAAATAAAGTCCCATTTCATTCATGTACTTGCACCTAATCTGTCACTACAACTACTAAAAACATTCAGAGGAGGCACTGACAGTTTCATCTTGTTGCAATCAACTAAATTCCTACCATAATAAGAGGTAACATATATTAAAAGGGGTCCTGAGTTCAGCTCTGATGATGAAATGTTTCACTCAATAATTTACACAACTCTAGCCAATAGGCATTGGCTCAGTTCCAAGGGAAAGAATTTCATTCCATTAGAAAAAAGCCTTAGTGGCTCTGGGTTTATAGATTCTCAGAACTGGCAAAATTCTTACCACCTATTGAAAAAAAAATCTTTAATTCTCGGTATCAGTGTATATAACTGTAGAGTATGATGGCTGATAAAAATGATTAGAATTGGAGGTGAGGAGTATAGCTCAGTGGTAGAGTGCGTGCTTAGCATGCACAAGGTCCTGGGTTCAGTAGCCAGTACCTCTAATTAGAAATAAATAAATAAACCTCAATAAGAATAGATTAGAATGTTCTTGCATTCTCAAAAATGATAAATTTAATTTTTCATTCTTATTATTCTTGAAAATTGTGTAGAGATTTGAAAGAATACATTTTTGCATACTTAATTGCTACATGCGTACATGTATGTTAACAGCATTGCTGCTTGTTATAATGTTTATGTATTATGTTATAATGTTATAATGTTTATAGAGTGGCGTCAGGAATTGACAAATTAAAATAATGGGAAAGTTCTATGAAAATAGTTTTGGCTGAAAATTAGAACTTTCTAACAGTTGGAATGTTCACAATAATCTTTCAGGGGCAATGTGTTCAAATCAATGGGAGAGTATAATTCCTACTTGTCAGGAAGGGAGATGGAAGAGTGTCCTCCAAAACTGTCATTCAAAAATAAAATCTTAGTTCACTTTGAGACGTTTTTATAAATACCAGTGTTTTGCCTCTTGAAAAAAATTAGTTATTTAATTTTAACCATATTTGTAAGGTTTTGTCTTTTGGGAGATACAATTTTCAAATATTTTATAGGAATATTTGTTGTATAAACTACTCAAAAATACGTAGATATGTGAACCAAAATAGAATGATTTAAATAATATTTCAGTTGGTATAAAATATTGTATAATTTGAAGTTGCATGAATTTTTTAGATAGCATTTATTTCTGTCTGCCAGTTGTAGAGGCAGCAGGGGGTGGTTTGAACTGGCTACCAAGGGATTATCTTCAATATCAGTTTATTCATAAAAGACATGTTAGTGAATTAATATTTGTCAAGTTGGAGTTCCTCAGAATATGAAGAAAACTAGTATTGCCCAAAGTAAGAAGGGGGAAAAGCAATAGTAAGTTTCAGTGTGATAATATGGTGGAATGCCTAGGTTTTATGTACATAGATCTTTGTTAACAAGATACAAGGCATTCACAAACTATAAACATGGAAACACTCCAAGTAATTTGAGTATGCAAAATACCTCATACATGATACTTGACCAATAAATAGTAACTTTTATTGAGTATTTCTATTGTGGAAAAAAATAATAAAAACAGAGGAAATATTGACACTTAGGCAATATCTTGTCTTCCTATACCTCTAAATCCCAAGGAGACTGAGTGTGGAAAATAAAAACCAAAATGATTTTTTGGCAGCAGCTTTCAAATATAAGATTCTGTTTAGTCCTGCTTATATACAAGCAATGGAAACCTTTAGCCTGAACGCTCTGCTAACTGATGCCTTAAGGCTATCCTACATAATATATGAGGGGCTTTGTCTCTACCAGTGTATGTCTGAAATCCAGTTACTCTTTCTGTACGTGGTAAATCCCAGACAGACAAATGATTAATAAGATACAGACTTTTTTCCCCCTGAAAAGTCACATTTGCTGAATGTATTGATGCAGTTCTGACAAATGGAAAGATTACAGGCTTTGGAATAAGGCAGACCCAGGATTGAATCCCTGCTATAAATTTGCTAACTGTAAACTCGGGCTTACTTGTTATGAACCTCAAGTTCCCCTCAGCTTGAAAAAGCAGATGCTGTCTTATTTTGCAAGGGTGTGAGAAGTTGAAATTAAACAAATCTGTCTGTCTGTCTGCCTGTCTATCATTTTACGCACACATATTTGGAGTTTGGTATCTGGCAGGTGCTTATTATGATTGCTGTTTTACTACTGAGTGAAACAAAACTTTACTGAGAGTGATGAGATTAAAAAAAGTTTTGAAGGAAGGAAAGTAGAAGAAAGTGAGGGAAGGAAGGGGGGAAGGGTGGTGGGAGGTAGAGAATGTAGGAAAGAGATAGGGGGAAATGAAGCAAAGAAAGAAAAAAGAAAAAAGGGAAGAAAGAATGAAAGAGAAAGGAAGAAAGGAAGAAAAAAGAAAGAAACAAAAGAAGGAAGGAAGAAATGAGAGAAAGAGGGAAGAAGGGGAGAAAGAGAGGAAGGAGGAAAAGGGAAAAAGGAAAATAAAGAAAGAGAGAGAGAGTTTAGAGAGGGAGGAAGAGGGGGAAGAGCAGAAAGAAAAATAGATATGGCCCTTTTTCTGTAGCATTAATATTTGCATCCTGAGGCTGTTGAGGGATATAAGGTAAACATAGAAAACAAATTACCTGTCATAAAGTATAAAAATATAAAACAGAAAATTGACCTGTCATTATTAGAACATTGAATACAGAAAAAGCTCCCATTCATAATAAAAACAATGATTATATAATACTCTGCTGGATTTCATGTTGGCACATAGCACTATTTTCTTACTCATGTCCTCTCCAGTACATCA